GGTGTGCTCCCCCCCCGTGCTTGGCAGTGCCTTGTGCCCGTGTGGTCGCTTTTAGCTGACCTCCACGCGGACCTGGCCTCCCTGCTGTGTCTGGGGCCTTGCCGGAGGAGGCCCGGGGCGGTTGCTGGGTTTGGGTTTGCGGATCCTGCCCCGGAGCCCCCCGCTGTGCTCCACTAATGTAAACTACGGGGCAGGGGTGTCTTTAGCGCCGTGTCTCCCCTGCCCCCCAGTAAGCGGGGTTAACCAAGGGCGTGTTTTGTTCGCTTTTGCTAAGGTGGCATCTTGCAGGTGACCTGCCCCTTGTATGTGAAAATGAGACTCGAGTCTTAGGGCTGCTGTGGTGGGTGGATAGAGTGACCACACTACAACAGGCTGTCCTGTCACACATAAGGTTATTTAAAAAAAAAAAAAAAAAATGCCCTGATACTGTCTTTTTTAGTCTGAAGACTGCTGTTCGGTCCACAGGTAGCTAAAGCATTAGCCAAAGGCAAGTGAAAAACCCCAAGCCCGTTATCGGGAGACTTACATTTGCTGTATGAAGTTGTGCATCTCCAAAAGTTAATTTTAGGATGCAGAAAATTGACAAGATTGAAAATCAGTGAGCTTAAGCTGGGAATGTTAGATAACACCAAAGGCAATCATTTTATATATTCACAAACAAAAATTCATGCTATAAGACAAGCTGAGTATGAAGTTGTATTCAGTGAATGTAGTTCTTTTAGGTTTTTCATGCAAATTACATCTATTTTTCATTCTGTTTTTAGGAAGTATTCAACATTCATTAAAATGTCTTCTACTAAACCTCGAAATGAAAATGAAGCACCCAAAGAGAGAAAACCAGGACTGAGTCGTGTTCAAACAACTATGCTCTTCCGAGCTGTGAACCCAGAGCTTTTCATTAAACCTGTAAGAGGCTCATTCTGAGAGAAGTTAAATATGCTTGGAGAGACACGGTTGCTTTAAAATAATCATCACAGTTCTCTGTACATTATATAACCATCTCTTGTTATGCAAACTACTCAGTAATTTAACTAAAAGTATTTTTTACTTTTTTTCCACTCTGATTGTCAAGAGCCTAGAACGTTGCATTGTTTATTTCAGCTTTTATTTGACTGTTACATTTTCTGATTCTTTTGCACCTAGCCAAGATGCTTTCAGAAAGACTGTTTAGAGGCATATTACCCGTGTAATTTGACAGGTTAAGTAATAGGAGTCCTCTTTAATATTTAAAAGGGAACAAATCATAAAATGCAAGCTTTTTGATATGAAAGGAGGGGATTTTTGGTAGCTTTTCAATATTTTGGATTTTTCTTTTTCTTGCTTTTATAATTAAGTTGACAATACTCAGGTTTTATTTATATTAGCAGAACCCAGTAAGACTGGATGAAATTTTGTGCATATAATAAAAGTAGGTGTTATGGTGATAATACGTGATCTATTTTAGAGGAATATAATCAAGGTTGCTTGGCAGGAACAGGGTACGTTGTCCCAGTAGTATATCCACATGAATTCTGTTAGAAGTTTGTAATAGTGACCTTTACTGATTGGTTTTGGCCTGTTCATTCATGCTCAAGCAGCATTTGTGACCAGACAGAGCACTGCGATGAGAGTCGTCTTTTTCCTAGGGAATTCCTTTTGCTACTAGAAAATCAGGTCGCCCTTCTTGCTGTTTATTGAAGTTATTTGGATCAGTCTACAAGGCAGCAGTGATAATTTTTGCAGATGTCACAATAGTTTACTGTTCACTTTCTAAGCTAAGATTGAAGAATGTAATGTTTGTGATGAATGAAAAATGTTTTGACTAAAAATGTACTAATGTTTTTGGTTTGTTTTTTTTTTTTTGTCAGAACAAACCTGTGATGGCATTTGGACTCATAGCAGTTACCCTCTGTGTGGCCTACCTTGGTTATTTGCATGCAACAGTAGAGAATAAAAAGGACCTTTATGAAGCAGTTGACAGTGAGGGGTCCAGGTATATGAGGAGGAAAACTTCCAAGTGGGACTGACAGCATAAGGAAGGAAATAAGGAAATCAGTCACAGAACTTTTCAAGACAACTACTTTTTTTTCTCTATCCATTGAAAGAATGGGTAAATGTCTCTCTTGCTATTTAAACCAATTTAAGTTCCTTTATAAAATGCCGTGTCTGTCCAAATAAATTGCAGTTAAGATACTATGCAAACATAAAAGTGATTTTAAGAATTGTTGTCTGTGATCTCCACAGTATGTCAGAAGACATGCAATTAACTTGGACGTGCAGTCAAGACTGGTAAATACCTTAGAAATCTACGTGCTAGTTCAGCTCACTTCTCTCTTTGCTTCGATTAAGTGAAAACGGATTTATCTTTTATTTTTTAAACAGAAGGCATTATGTATTGTGTGTGAAAAGAAAAAGCTGATCTGTTGAGAGTTGATAATTAACAGTGGTGCAAATAAAATAATTTTAAGGCAAGAAAGATATGATAAAGCAGTCATTGAAGGGTTTTATTTAATAAAGGAATTTGTAAAAATACTGGCCAAAATAATCCTTGGATGCTAATATACTCTTCCTTACAAATGAAAAAAAAAAAAAATCAGTAGCTAAATAGAGGAGGAAAAAGTTAAATTAGTGCTTCTGCCAAGAGAAAGGCAGGAAGAACTCAGCCGTTACCGCTCCTGTTTGGCATCAGACAGCAGATGAGTGGACATACCAGTATCAGCTGCCAATCAATATGTATGACTCCAGGTTAGCCAGAGCTTGTGGGGTGCTCTTGACTCGTCAGCAGGACTAGTTTATTTAAGCCGCATTCAAAGATTTAATTTCTCTATATTGCAAAGTACATTATATAACATTAATTTATTCTAGGATACTGAACTCAGAGTAAGGAATGGAAAGTCTAAAATCAACAGGTTCTTACAGACACAGAGAAAAGAGCGTATCAGCCTGAACAAGCCCAGTCTTGCCGAGCGGCCCCGCGCGGGGCTGGAGCTGACCCTCGGCGGTGTGCTGGCTGGTGCCGCTCTGAGCGTGGCTGGGGGGCGGGTGGG